GAGCAGTGACTCATCCCTGAGTCTCCAAGAGTGAGGCCGATGGGGCTGGCACAGGAGCGGCCCTATGATTTCAAAGTTTCCCCTCCTCTGAACCTCCTTCTCACACTAATTCAGCTACAGATGAGGGAGCTCAAAGTTCTGTTCCTTCTGATGTGTGGCTAGTAGGGAGAGTCTCAGAAGGGGCTTGAGTCTTTCCTTATCTATCCCAGCAAGCTGCACCTGCTGGGCCCCTGGATCCAAAGGTTGGGCATGGATGTAGGTGAGGAGAGACATGGTTCTGGAAGGAACAGAGGCGTGCAGCTCAATCAACCCCATCCAGAGCAGCTTTGCCAGAGGCAAGGTGGATTCTCACCACTGTAAGAGCTCCTCTCCCGTCTCGGCAGAGTTGAGTCCCTGAGCTGTTAATGTAGCAGAATGACACTTAACCACAGGAAGGGCACAGGTGGGACCTGAGAGCATCCTCTGGAAGCCACTGTCTGGAACTGCAGGCTCTGTCCTCCAGAAAGGTGCCCTGCACACTCTTCAGAAACGTGGGCAAAGTTCCCTGAGAAAGGCAGCCTCAGGGTTCCATTGGCTGAGAGCAAACACTAAGTCAAGTTGATCTAAGTTGTTCTCCTCCAAGCTTCAGTTTCTGCCATCTGAAAATCTGGTTTGGAGTTTGAAACGGGGCAGAAGTGGAGACAGGGGGATCCCAGTGGAGGCACGAGATGGACCGAGGGCTCCACACTTGGGGAGAGGCCCTGGGCAGCTGCGCCCAGCCCTCACCCCAAACCTACCTGGTGTGAGCCACCAATAGATCCTCAGGAGGGAAGCTGGTAGCCCTGTCACGCTGCCCAGGCCAGGATTCCTGAGAGGCAGTAGCCAGAGCTGTCTCTAGAAGTGGCACCCCCTGTCTGTCCATCCTTACACAGGGCAGCAGACAAAGCTGAGCCCTCTGCTGAAATGAACTGAGCCAAATGCTGATCTTTATTTGGGGGGCATCTTGTAAAAATATTGGATCCAACTGATGCTCTGCTCATGAACAAGCTACAAAAGTGACCCTGGAGGGACTTTTCTCCCACAGGCCAGGAGCAGCGACAGCAGCGGCTCTCACCTTAGCCACCTGGCTGCTCTGCACGCAGGAGGGGCCAACAACCTGCGTGAAGGAAGAGGAGGTGAGAGAGCCACTGGGTCCTGAGCCCCGCCAGAATCCATGGCCCATGGTACCACTGGAAAGATCCAAGGACCCCACGCCCAGTGTCCAGCAAGCCTCAGTTCCTCCAGTGGGCATTTCCAGAATCCCCAAGGCTGCCCGAGAGCCCCTTCACCTCTGCTCTTAATACACAGATGTCATGAAATGCTGGGTGGCCTCTGAGGAAGGGATCCGTGCACCCACACTGCAGACTCAGGGCAGCGGCCACAATGGTAACAAGTGGGTGGGCAGCACTGTAGCCCATTTCTCCTGCCTCAGCCAGTGTTCTTTCTCACACTAACCACAAGTGTGCATGCACACACACATACACATAGGCACACATGCTCACACACATAAGTTCATGATCACATACACACACATAGGCTCTCTGTGAGCGACAGGCCCATGCACTCCCTGGCGGCTAGTTACCCGTAGCTGCAGGCTTCCAGAAGAACCACCACTCCCTGGGATGTTCCTGGGTGGGAAAATGTAAGATCGGGGTTTGGATCACCACACTTACCACACTCAGAGCGCCTTGTTGCCGTGTAACCACAGTCCTCTGACCCTTGATGACTCTCAAAACCGTTCTTGTCATATAATACATGAACTATGCGTAAACAATTCTGGGTTATGATGTGTTTCCTAAAACTAAGAGAACTTCAGCCATAACACTGACATTTTGTTTCTGGAAATTAAACCCTGGGAACAGTGAAAACAAAGTCCCTCAATTTATGAATTGTATTTCCGTACATACTTCAATTCCCAGCGCTTGCGGTGAAAGAGAAACACGATTTTGCTTCTGATGGTGTAGCCACTGAGACCAGCGGGCCTGCCCCTCCTAGGTTCTCCACTTCATACCAGGAAGCCAGGCTCTCCAAATAAGGTCCTCACTAACAACCTGGGTGACCTAATACTTCAGGAAATGACGAGAATAAACCCAAGCAAGATGGATTTGCCCATTGCTCTTGGGAAACAGTTTCCTCCGCCTCTGACCTGTTCCTGGCAGGAAGGGGCAAATGCCTGGGAGATGCTGCAACAAGTTTGCCAAGGCCTTGGCAGAGTCCCCAGGCTGGCATCTCAGTATGAACTTTGCCAGTCCCGGGACTTCTGCAGGCAGAAAATGTGCACCCCCAACGCCCAGCAAGCTGCGGGCCCTGCCGATGTGTGCCGGGCTATGAACAAGGGTTGGGGGAGGTTTAATGATTGTAGTTGCCAAGTGAGGCAAAGACAAGATTGGATTCTGGTGCAGAGAGGAAGGTTGAGAGGAATGGAGGAAGGTGAAACCAACAAGAAGTGTCCGGACATGCTAGCAGGATTTCAGGATACAGAGCTAGCAAGACGCAGGGGTGAGATACACATACAAACTAGAGAGAATGGGGGCATGGGCAAAGGTCGGAGCCAGAAAGGCTTGGAGTGGAGAGGGAAGAGTGGGAAGTTCAGTCAGATGCAAGCTCTGGAGATGAGCAAGGGAGGTGAGAGGTGGGGACATGGTCCCTAGGATGAGTAGATGTCAGGTGTGTTATTTCCCTGCAGGGACTGCCCTCCTTCTCCTTCCTCCAGGACAAACCCTCCATCCCCACTGGCCCTGCTCAAATTCCGCCTCCTCCAGGAAGCTTTCCCTGAACTGCTCAACCGGCAATGAACTTCTTCCTCTCTCCTCTAATTTCTACAGCACACCTCAGCCATCAGTTCAGGACCACCACAAGGTATGCACAGGCATCTCACAAGTTTGCAGACATGCCTTCGTAGACTGTGTTCTTCTGGAATAAAGATCACTTTGTACACATGTACCTCCCTGCAGTGTGGCTTAACCCAGGTCCAGGTACACCAAGACTTCAGGAGGGGCCCACCAACCCAGAGGGAGGCTGGCATGGGAGCAGGACAAACCATCCAGCCCCACAGCCACCCCAGCCCCTATCCATGACTCCACCAACCAGGACTCTGCCTGCCTTCCCAGGCCTTGGCACAGGAACTCCAGCTTCTAGCACCTTCTCCAAGGCTCCTGCACCCTGCCTGGAAGGCAGCCCCTTGCCCCCAACCTCCTCCCAGAACTCCTCAGTTCCCCACACCACCAGGTTTCCACAGCTGAAGGCCATAGCTTATTAAAGTCAGACGTGTGGTGCCCCATGCCACACTTCCTGGGCATCACCACTTCCACACAGCCCCACTCCCAGGAGGCTACACATTCAGCCCCAGGGGCAACCTGTCTGGTCAGGGAGGCTAAAAGCAGCCCTATCACAGCAAACGAGCAAGCCCACTCTTACGAAACCAGAGTGGAGCCATGGGGGCGTGGGGACAAGAGGCAGGGAGCGCTGGGCAGGGCTGTGGTCTTGGTCCTTCCTACTGAGGAGGAAAGTGGGAAAGCGGGCTCAGGCTTCCACTGTCAGTGGGGATGGTGGGAGTGGCCTCCAAAGAGGACACCTGCCTGTAAGAAGCCAGAGCCGGTCCTAGGCCCCTGAGTCAGCAGCACAGACACAAAAAGAAAACATGCTAACTTGTTAACTGAGTCACTTGTAATGGGGACAAACATTCACATTACAAAATAATCTCCATTTGGCAAAAGGGCCTCTTTAGGAATTAACAAACTCCTCTTTGAACATGTAAGTGTCCTGGAAGAGCTAAGTGAGGCCATTCCCTGGAATCACACTACCCATGTGTTAGTCACTCACCCTTAGTGTGAATCAGCTTGATCAGGCTGTTTTCCTGCTGCCTTCCGTTAGAATTCAACTTTCTGAAAAAATAGATTTGTTTGGGAAGTGATGCGGGCTGGGTCATTTTGGAACACAGAGCACAATACGAGGTTTGGAAGCAGCAGGAAGAGAAAGAGGAGTTGTTCAGCCAGAGGGCCAAGTAAGGAGACAAAAGCTAGGGGTCATAGTGGGAGGCTCAAGAGGGCAGAGTCCAGGGGCGGGAGCAGTCCCCCAGGTTTGGGCACTGGATTTGCTGGCTGGGGCTGCCACAACAATGCCACACAGACAGAGCAGCTTAAACAGCAGATGTGCATGGCCTCTTGCCTCCTGGTGTGTCCAATGTCCCCACTTTGCAAGGACACCTGTCACATTGGATTAGGGGCCCACCTGACTTCGCTATGACCTTGCCTTAACTAACTGCATCTTCAACCTGTATTTCCTTATTTGAAATTTTTTATTTCCTTATTTCATCACATTCTGAGTTATTGGAGGTTAGAACATCAACATGGGAATTTGGGGGTATCATGACTTAGCCTGTGATCAGCACCTTTTCTGGGGTGAAACTGAGGCAGAGGAGAAAGCCCCAATCAGCTGAGTAACCCTTGAGCAAGTCATTGTCCTGTGTGGCCTCAGCTGACTCACCTGTGGCATGGATGGCCCGGGGATAGTGGCTGATTGTCTCTTCCACCTGCCTCCTAGCACATCCAGATGGTCCAGTGAGGACTCCCTGCACCTGTGAGGCGCGGGCCCATGGGCAGTGGTTTTTCCACGGCGCTCAGCAATGCTCACTTGACTAGACCTCAGAGGCTCTTCGATCCCTGCTGGATAAGGCATAGGGCCTCGTTATCAGCACTCCCAAGCCCCAGGGAGGGAGAGCTAGGGCACAAAAGTAATAGCCGACACCAAGAGACCTGGAGGCTCCTTAAACAGGTAAGCCTGCAAGACCACATAGCCGAGACCTCCACTATATTAGTCTCTTTTCACACTGCTATAAAGAACTGCCCGAGACTGGGTAATTTGTAAGTAAAGTAGGTTTAATTGACTCACAGTTGCCGCATGGCTGGGAGGCCTCAGGAAATTTACAATCATGGCGGAAGGCGAAAGCGAGGCAGGCTCACTTCACATGGTGGCAGGTGAGAAGGAGAAACGGGGGATCTGCCAAACACTTTTAAACCATCAGATCTCGTGAGAACTCACTCACTATCACGAGAACAAACAGCAGCGGGGAACCGCCCTCCTGATCCAATCACTTCCCACCAGGTCCTTCCCTGACACATGAGGATTACAATTCAACATGAGATTTGGGTGGAGACACAGGGCGAAACCATATCATCCACAGGAAAGCATGCTCTTACACAGTCTGGATACATCCTGCTGTTGTCTGCAAACAGCTTTCATTTACAGGGAGCAACAGCACCATCTCCAGCTGAGTCAGGCCCATCTGCCTTCAGAACAGAGCCTGGCCAAGGGGCCACCTCCCCGCGCGGAACAGGCCAGCACGCAGTAGGCGCTCAAGGAGCCAGGGACGGAGGCGAGGGCGACCCACTCGTGGAGCGAGGGCGACACCCAGTGGCCATGTGGAAAATGACCTGCTCGAACCCAAAGGTGGGTGGCAGCAGCGCCTGATCCGCCAGCCTCAGGCCGGGAGGAGGTGGCCGAGTCCGATTTGAGTCCCATGTCCTCTGGACTGCAAGTTGAGACTCCCGGTCCTAGAAGGGACAGCAAGGCCTCCTCCAGCTTCACAGGCCATCTGACGACCTGCGCAGCTGTTTAAAGAGCAAACCGCGCATGAGTTAAGCCGCTTGGCCCTCCCTTTCAGACCCCTCAGGCCGCCTGTGGACAGCCTGACTTACCCTCTAAGGGCCTTCCTGCCTGCCCTGGGAACACACACCGCAGGGTCCAGGGACTGGCGTCAGGGGCAGAGCGAACTCAGCGCCACCTGGGCTCCAGGCCTGGCTCTGCTCCAGGACCGGGACAAGCCCCACCCCTCCCCGATTCCCATCCCTGAAGCCAAGGACACTGGGGTTATCGCGAACCACTTCTGAGGACATGTGCAGCTAAGGGTGAGCAACTTGGTTTTTGTTTGTGTTTTGTGTGTGTGTGGTTTTGTTTTGTTTTTTGAGATGTAGTCTCACTCTGTCGTCCGCACTGTAGTGCAATGGCGCGATCTCGGCTCACTGCAGCCTCTGCCTCCCAGGTTCCAACGATTCTCTTGCCTCAGCCTCCCGAGTAGCTGGGATTACAGGTGCATGCCACCACACCAGGCTAATTTTTGTATTTTTAATAGAGAGGGGATTTTATCATGTTAGCCAGACAAACTCCTGGCCTCAAGTGATCCGCCCGCCTGGGGCCTCCCAAGTGCTGGGATTACAGGCGTGAGCCACTGCATCCTGGGTGAGCAACTTGTCTTCAAGACCCCGAGCCTTGATATCAGACAGAGCTGGGTTCAAATCCGATCTCTGCCCCTCCCAGCTCTGCAGCCTTGGGCAATTCTCTATGGGGCCTTTCCTCTCTTGGGTTACCACGGAGATTCGATGATGGCAGGTGGGTAAAGCTCGCGTCGCGGAATCTTTCCCATAACAGGTACTCAGTGGTGGCAGGCTCTTCTTTAGCTTGGTCTGCATAGCAGCACCACAGAAAACAGCTGCACTGTATCTCAGGCAGCCCCAGGTATGTGGAATTAAGTGATCATGATCAGAGACATCTCCCGCCTCTGCTGTTCTGCAGAGCCTCTGCCGTTCATCTCACGCAGCCCTGATCACACCCGCACCCCAACACATACACACGCAAGCTGCCCAGGGCCCCTCACTGACTGCCTCAGGATCAAGTTCACACTGATCCTCCCAACCCAGCACGATTCTCCAGCCTGGAACCCCAAGTATCCATCCTAGAAGCTCCTGTGCCCTGTTGCCCTCATCCCCACCCCTCCGGCTGCCTGGAGAAGACTGGGAAAGCCCAGAGAAGAGCAGGGCAGGCCCCTCTACTTGCTCCCTACTCAGGCAGGTCCAAGGCAGAGCCCTGGAGTCCAGGGACAGAGGATAGGGCAGATCCTAGCTTCGCCCAGCTCAGAAGCACTCAGTGGAGAGGAAGGAAGGTCTCAAGAAGCTAAAAGGATGTGGTTGTTACTGCCTTGGACAGAACCAACAGACCAAGCTCAGAGCCACTTCTTAGGCAGTGTGTGTCAAGTAAATCTTACTTTCAAGCCCTGGGAAGATGAACCCTCCTGCTAGGGGTAGGGGTGGGCATTCCTGTTGTGCTAGGGGCTGTGGCCTCCCAAGACCCAGCCTTACAGTATGGCTGGAGAACTACCCCTCCCACTAAGTGTCCTCATCCTCCCTCAGCCACAGCCTGAGATGAGCCCAAAGGACCTTTCCACTCAGTGACTTTAGATAAGGAGAAACAGAGGCCTGGAGACTGTAGGGGAACTGCCCAAAACCACAGAGCAAGTAAATGGTAGAAGCAGGTGAAATTGTTTAATATTATTTTATTTGACCCAGTATATCCAAAATATTATCATCTTGACACAATATGAAAATGTTAGAGGTACTTTACATTATTTTATTTATACCAACTCTTCAAAATCTGGTATATCTTTAACACTTACAGCCCATCTCAATTTGGGTGCTAAATTTTCATCGAAAATACTTTATCTGTATTTAGATTTCATAAATTTTGCAGTGGCAGATTCGCATACGTTAAATGTGAATTCGTTGTTCCAAACAAAGTGCTCACATAAAGTGTGAGTTCACTTCACCCACTCCACGGCCCTACTTCAAAATTTTTTAGTAACTGAATTGTTGGCGTTGGGTTTGTTGTTGTTATTGTTGTTGTTGTTGGAGATAGGGTCTTGCTCTGTCACCCAGGCTGGAGTGCAGTGGTGAGATCATAGCTCACTGCAGCCTTGACTTCCCAGGCTCAAGCAATCCTCCCACCTCAGCTTCCTGAGTAGCTGGGACCACAGGCGTGAACCACCATCCCCAGCTAATTTTTTTCTATTTTTTGTAGACATGAGGTCTCACGATGTTATCCAGGTTGATCTTGAACTCCTGGGCTCAAGTGATCCTCCCGCCTGGGCCTTCCAAAGTGCTGAGATTGTAGGTGTGAGCCACTGTACCCAGCCAGTATTTTTTATTTTAAATGAATTCAAATGAGAAATTCAGTTCCTCAGTAACACTCGTGACACTTCAAGGGTTCAGTAGTTGCATGTGCTAGTGTCTATCAGTGGACAAGTTAGCACTAGATCTTTTTGCAGAATTCTTAAATGAGACCATACCCAGATATACAGCACTTAGAAATCCATGTCTTGGCCGGGCACAGTGGCTCACGCCTGTAATTCCAGCACTTTGAGAGGCTGAGGTGGGCGAATCACCTGAGATTAGGAGTTCGAGACCACCCTGGCCAACACAGTGAAACCCCGTCTCTACTATAAATGCAAAAATCAGCTGGGCATGGTGGTGCCTGCCTGTAATCCCAGCTACTCAGGAGGCTGAAGCAGGAGAATTGCTTGAACCTGGGAGGCAGAGGCTGCAGTGAGCCAAGATTGTACCACTGTACTCTAGCCTGGGCAACAGAGTGAGACTGTGTCTCAAAAAAGAAACTAAATCATTTTGTCCTGTCCAAGAACTCAGTTTCTACAGGCTTCATGTTGTAGGGTGGTGTGTCCCAAATCCCTCCAGCTAATTTATGGGTATAAGTAACAGTTAAAGCATCAAGAGAAGTAGCAACCAAATAGAAATGAAAGTATGGTACAATTTCTGTTCATGTAGCCACTACCCCTAAAGAGGCAACACTTGTAAAGCATCCATGGAGTAAAACCAGTCTGCAGATCTCAACAACTCAAGGGCGCAAAGCAGAGACCATGGAGCTGCAGCAACAGGATGCTATTCAGACTGTTGGGAGGCCCACATGTAACTCATTTGAGAGCACAAGGTTAATAAGTGGCACAGCCAGAACTAGAGGCTCGGTCATTGCACTCATGGTCTGAGCTCACAAAGTGTGAGCTCACTTCACCCGCTCCATTCCTACAGCCTCAGAGTTCCCCATGAAAGTCTCAGTTGCACACCAGAGAGGCATCTTGGGGAAAATGTTCCACCTGGTCTCATAGCCTAGGAGACAAAGAACCCTGGATTAGGCTCTCAACTCAACCCTGAATAAGCCTGTGCCCTCATATCCTTCCCACCTACAAAATGGTGGCTGTGTCCCTGTTCTAGGCCCGCTGCAACAAAGCATCACAAACTTGGTGGCTTCAAACAACAGAAATTTATTCTCTCCCAGCTCCGGAGGCCAGAAATCTGACATCAACTTGTGGAAAGGGCCTCCAAAGCCTTGAGGAATCTTTCCTGGCCTCTTCCAGCTTTTGGCGAATCCAGGTGTTCCTTGACTTGCAGCAGCAGAACTCCGGTCTCTGCCTCCGTCTTCCCATCGCTGCAGTCCACTCCCATCCCAAGTCTCCCTCTGCCTTTCTCTTAAAAGAACACTTACGTTGGATTTAGGATCCACTCAGATAATCCAGGATAAACTCTTCTTCTCAAACTCTCAATTACTTCTACAAAGGCTATTTTTCCAAATAAGGTCACATTCACAGGTTCTAAGGGTTAGGTAATGAACATATCTTTGGGGCAGAGTTGGGGGTGTGGGGGGAGGCACACTGTTCAACCCATGGTAAGGAGTTTGGACCACGTGAATTCGAGGTCCCACTCGCTCTGAAAACACACAAAAATGGCAAAGGGCAACTATCTCTACCCCATAAAGAATGCATCCAAGTATGTCAGGTCCACATCAATATCCCAAGAAATGGACAGTTCACACATACAATTAGAAGATGCTCTAATTAGCAAGCAGACACACGTGGGAGTTTTGCCTTTCTAACATCAGAGAGATGCAAACTAAAACAAATCTTAGATTTTTTTTAATCTCAGCAAACTAAAACCCAATGCTGGCAAGGATGTGATGAAACCAAGACTTAAACATGGATCTGCCATTTATTCCCTGGGACTGACTCAGGGTAGGCACCTATTGATTTGACCTGCCGATGGATGGTTAATTGGCAAAACTCTTTCTTTGGGGGAAAACTGTGGCCAAGAACCTTGAAAATAAAGATGGCTATTGGCTGAAAATTCCTCATCTGTACTGAGAATTTATCGTAAGGAAATCATCCTTGTGAACAAATATTTGTCTCAGCATTATTTATAACATCTAAATAGTGCAAGCAACCTAAGCATTCAAGAGAATGGGAACAATTCTGCACAGAAGTTCTGCAGCCGTGAAAATGATGTTAAAACCGGGAGAACAGATCAGGTTAGTTAAATAAATTAGGACTACTCAGGAGGAGGAAGGGGAGGTTTAGGGGTGCCAGCGATGCTTTGATGTGGGTGATCAAGAACATGATGTGATTGCTGTAGAATTATTTCCTTAAACTGTGCATTTGTATTATGCATTTTTTATGCTTAAAACACATTTTAGGAAAAACCGAAGATAGATTTTTTTCTTTTTAAGAGTTGAATCCAAGAACCCTAGGACACTCTTAATTTGTCCCAGAAGTGTGAAGTCCGCCTAGGGCATAGCAGTGAAGGGCTCCCAGAACCGTACGGTGAGTTTTGAGGCTGGGGTGCCAGGGTGAAGTGCAGCTCATCCTGGCAGAGTGCACCTGGCCAGGCTTCCGCACCTAGTGGAGTACCTGGCAGGCTTCTCGGATAAAGCCCCGGGCAGCGCGTGCCCCGCTGCAGCCCAGGTGTGGAGTCCCCGCCACGGCCCCTTGCTTGCAGGGCAGGTGTGGCCCGATAGTCCCACTCCCCGCCCCCTCCTCCTCCTCGCCGTGCCCAACCTGCCCACTTCTCCTACCTAGGCTCTTCTTTCTGCCCCTGTCACCATGGCCCCAAGCGACCCTCTCGCTCAGCCCAGGTCAGTGAAGGATGGGATGCAAGTGCTCGCCAACCCCCCCGTTTCCAAAGTGGAGTTCCCACAAGGCATCAGGGAGGGGCCGCGCCTTCTCTAACTGACCTGAACTGACCCGGGCTTCACAAGTTTGTGGAGAGCAGCTGCCCCTCCAGCATCTTCCAGATGA